TTAGACTGACTGAAATCCATTCATTGTGGTGAGCTTGATGATATGGACATTACATCACCGAGACCAATTCCAGTTTTAAAGCCAACATGGTCTGCAAGCTGCAGCTGGTAAAATCCTCCATCATCTCTGTTGCCCTGGTTTGGGTTTTTACCCTGACAGAGGCTGGGCTGATGGAGTAAGTAAGGTGAATTACTGGTGAGGTGAATTACCCACTGAGGACTTAGACTGATGGTTGTGAAATCCAACTGGCCAGTGGTCTGCATTTGTGAAGTGATCCTGGGAAAGGGATTTCACCTTGCACCAGGAGCTTGGCTGGAGGGATATGCAACTTCTAGAAATTGGGACCAGAGATAAAGAGAATAAAGTGAGCTGATCCCACTCCCCCACAGCCCCAGTTTTAGCTGAAAATGCCATATTTGAAAAGCACAGATGATACTTTTAAATGCTTTCACATGTGAAAGTTTCACCATAGCCAGGATTTGTATGTGCTCTCTGGCAGTGTACTCAAGCAGTCCAAGACTAATGAAAGCCAAGGGTAACTCTGGCCCAACCTCTTCTAGAGGGCTCTCTATCATCTATGAGGTCTTAAAGCAGTTTTTATTGCTGTATCATGGGATTTGAGCTTTGTTGGCTTTAAGAAGCTCTCAGCAGGGGCCTGGCTCTGCTTAGCAGTGCTTACCTCAGACTTAGTGATACAGTTTTGGCGTTTGTGAGTGTCCTTCCCATGTCTCTGACGCATGGAGTCACTTGTTTGTTACTGGTGCCAGGGTGGTATCTCATAAAACATTTGGAATTTGCATTTAGCAAGCAAACAAGAAGCAGAAGAAAGGAGATTGTGGAATATAAAATCATTAAGGTTGGAAAAGACCTTAAGATCATCTAATCCAACTGTAATGCTGCCCTGAATGAGCATGACATCTGGTAGAATAAGTGCCATGTCTAGTCTCCCACTTCTGAAGACCTGGAAAAATGAATTTGGCCAGCTGAAGGGGACCACAGCCCAACTCTGCTGCACCGCATTGCTGGACTTGGCTTCCCTGCATCTTTTTGGCAGGATAAGTGCATGATTTATGGATAAAATCTGTCTGTTTTCCTGCCTCTCTGAGCTCTGAGGATGGGCACCTGGAGGTGAAGATTTCTGACTTGGAATCACCTTCTGAACAGGTACTAATATAATTGGAGCTTTCACTTCAATGATCTTCCCAAGGATTTATCTACACTTGGGAGTTAAATTACCTACGTGCACTTCATAACATCTAACAGGAGTGAATTCACTGTATTTATAAGCCCAAAACACAGGGGTAAAAGAAAATACCATGTTGTCCCTTCTAGAGCTCCAAATGCCATGGTGGTGACTGTGATTTATGAAGGTGCTGTAGTCTCATCTATCACTCAGTCACCTCTCAGATGTACTATTGACATCTTCAGTGCTCATTAGTGAGGGAATAAAGATGCTTGAATATGACATTTTGGCAAGCAGCTAAATGAACTCCTTGTCAGAAACCCTTTGAAGTGTGTATGGAAAATGGTCCCATTTGGAAGTTGTGATTGCTGCTCTTACATTTTCCAGTTCAATGTGTTATGTGGAGGATGAACATGCTGACAGACCAAGAAGTTCAGGATGGGAGACAAAGCTAATTTCAGTGTTGGTGTAGTCCTCCCTCAAAACACTGCAAGCTGCTTGGCCGGCCTTTATGGTAATGTACCAGGCACTTTTGCTTAGAAATTGTGTGGAGGCAAAACCAGGGAAAATTCCCTGTTGTGAGCAAAAGGAAGTCTTTGAAGTGAACACTTGGTCAGAATTTGTGCCTAGACCACATTTCTGTTTTTTCAGGGCTAGAAAAATATGACTGTTTCCATGAGAATGGCTCAGGTCTTTCCATGGGGAAAATGGGGAAAGTATTTGAATTTCCCATGTGGGAGACTGTTGCTCCAGTAGAGTTTAGCTGGATCTTGTAACATGGATACCTCAGATGACTTTCTGCCACTTCTGCTTTCACCAGATTCTGGTGTTCATTGGGTCTGGAGGTGAGGGAAAAACAGTAAGAGTTTCCTAAATTGTGTCTGTTTGCAGCAAGAGCCAAGGAAATGGAGCACTACAAGAAACTTCCACTGTGCTATATTGAAGGCACACTGGCAGCCACTTAAAAAAGCAGTCAGAGATTGCTGGAAATCTTCAGTAATGACCTGGGACAGGGTTTGTAGGTGGTACCAAATTGGGGACGACTTGTTACAGCTTAACTAGAACACTGAAGTGTCTGGTTTGGGGTTCTCCAGGTAAGGAGAGATGTTGGAAAACAGGAGCAAGTCCAGTGGAGCTCCACCAAGCTGGTCAGGGGCTTGGAGCATACAGCATTTGGGGGAATACTGAGGGATACAGTGTTGTTCAGTTTTCAGATGAGAAAGCTCTGGGTGGGATATTATTTCTGGTTTTTACTAAGGAATAGATGGTTCTACAAAAGATTCTTTTTGGGAACACACAGAAGGAAACAGCAGATGAACACCAAAAGCAATGAACATGAGTTGCACCAATAGAAACCTGATTACGCACAATGAAAAAATTCTTCACCTGGAGAGGGGCTTAGCCCTGGATCAAGTGTCCAAGGAGTTTGGGAAATATTTCTCTGTGGAGATTTTCAAAACTTGCCTGGGTGAATTCCTGAGCAACCTGATGTAACATCAAAGCTGGCTGTTCTTTGGGCAGGAGGTTGGAGTGGATAGGATCCAGATATTGCTTTCAGCTAAGTTATGGGATGGTTTATGTGCTGCAGTCCCAGCAGGTGACGTTTTCCCCAAATATATTTTTTCATGCTATGGTTTTCAAAAAGTCCATGTAAAAGACGCTTTTACAATCTTGATGCCCTATTTTCTATGTGAGGGGCTTTCATCTTCAGCTGTAATTGAAGCATAGAGAGCTCCTTCTACTCTTCTGCTCATTGTGGCTGATGCAGATTGAGCTGGAACAGCCTGGCCGTTGGAGAGCTGAGGACTTCACTAAGGGTGTTTGTGACTATGGTGGCCTGGTCTGTGCCCCAAGAACTTGGGTGTCTGGGGTTACACGTGTACTGGTAATTGAGTAGTATCAGTGGCACAGGTACTGGAAATAGATCTGTACTGTGAAACTGCAGCATGGTCCATGGCTTGTTGTTTTGGCCGAGATAACTCTCCCAGGCAGTCCAGCAGCTCATGGAATTCTGGAATGGTTTGAGTTGGAAGGGTTCTTAAAGATCATCTTCTTCCAGTCCCCCTACCATGGGCAGGAGCACCTGCCACTAGACCAGGTTGCTCAAAGCCCCAAAAATACAGTGGGGGCCTTCTGCAAGTTGGCTATTAGGACTAACCCTGTTATATCTCAGGCTGTATTACCTGTTTGGAGTAATGCTAGCTGGCAAAATCATTCTAAGGTGTAGGGTATCACTTAAACAAAGGGGGTAAAGGTGTCCATAATTTAGCCCTCTTTGGTTTCTTGATACAGATGCTGCTGATAATGTCAGTTTGGGTGGAGATCATGGCCTGTTCAGAACTGCTTGGGAGGAAGGAGGCCATCCATACCAGGACATGACTAGTGAAGGCTAAAAAAACTGTCAATGTTAGTGTGAGAGTGTATGACAAATAAAACTCCTAGAAGCATTTTCAGTCTGATGAATCTACAGCTTTGACACCTGAAGAATCAGTTTCATCTGTTAAGGTGGAGAGCAGAGTCTGTAGTTTAGTGCACACATATTCCTAAATGAGGAAGGTCCCAAAGGCTGCCCATCTCTGGGGATGCTGGATGCAAAAGCCTTGTTGTGCCTCTCACAGGACCAGCAATGTATAATTCCCCATGGATACAGTATGCTCCTGTGCCAGAGGGCAAGGCCCCTAAGCAGACAGTTGTGGGATGTTCTCTGTTATGTGTGAGAACAATAACAAACAAAAAGAATAGGCACCCTCCAAGAAATCCTCTGCAGCATTTAGATTTGCTGAATTTCTCTAGCTGGACATTTGCAAAGAGACAATGAATCAGGATTGCTGCATGCCAGATGTTTCCACTGAAATCTCTGACACTCATTGGATCAGAAATCCCCTAAGGAAGTTTGGGTCATTCAGTATGAAACTGTTCACATGGAGCTTTCTTCTTTTGTCATTTGCAGCATGTGAAATAAAATGCTGCCTTTGATTTGAGAAAAAGGGCATGTTACCCTGTAGGCTTGGTTTTCTGTGGCATTCCTGTGTCTCTCATGGCTTTTGTTGTTATGCTGGTTCTAGCATTCAATACCTTTTGAGGTCCATTTTTCATTTGCCTTCCTCCGAATTGGTGACCAAAAGGAGTTTGTATTCCATTCTCTGTAGCTGTCCTGCTCCTTTTGAAGGAATGTCTCCTTGCAAGTTTCCCCCTCAGCTTGGTCCTGGCTGGACAGTGAAAGCAAACTGTCAGCCTTGCACCTAAAAGCTCAGGACTTTATCTGTGCAAATTGTTCTCACCCTAAGTAAGAAAACAGGCAAAACCACCTGGTAGAGAAAAATATATGGGAAAACAATTTTGGAACTTCCCATATTCTAAATTTATAATATGAAAAATGTTTCTACTTGCATGGAATGAATGTAATTAAAACAATATTTCTGCTTACATGGTAGATGATAATGTTATAATTATTACACCTCATACTAATTTTCATTAGATTTAGAAATGTAACATCAAAGAGCAGGCAGAGACACTGATCACCTTTGTCTTCAACAGGGGTCAGAGAGGGGGATTTGAGACACCTCTTGTGGTTGTTACAAAGATGAAACATCTTTTATTCTCAGCCTTCTTTGTATGGGTGTGTGATTCTTCAATGTTCTTTCAATTTATTAGAGGTGTGTTAGAGTCAGATACACTTTCTCATGTAAACATAAAGACTTTTAAACATGGAAATCTTGTATGTACTCTCACAGTCTGCAACTGGTAAATTATTTTTAGGCAATTTCTGTTGTGAATGGACAAATACTCACAGATAGGTATTGTTTTTCCCTTTTAGAGTGTCAGTCAGCTACTGCTCTGCAGCTCATGATCAAGCGCTGTCATGGGAAAAGAAGCTGCAGCATATATGCCAGCACCTATGAATTTGGAGACCCTTGTTACCCAGGCATCCAAAAGCATCTTAATGTCATCTACACCTGTGGTAAGTTACAAAATTCTCTGACTCTCACTGGGCTCTATGTTTGTTGAGTAGTGGTGTGTGGAGAATAAGATGCAAAAAGTTGTTGAACTTCCAGTTGACTCGTGGTGATTCTTATTTGGTTGACAAGGAAAAGCTTTGGGTCACCAGAGTGGTTTAATTCTGTCACTTTTTGTACTCATTGGCTCTATAGAAAAAGCAAAAAATGTGGAAATTATATTTATTAACCCATTCATCTACTTCTTCAAGGCAGGAAAATCTGGCAGTGAAGTCAGTCTGCTCAGTGGACGTTTACACACTGAATGTTGGCATCCTGCAGCAAAACTGTGGTTACCAGTAGGATCCTTATAACTTTATTCTGTATTTATTTCATTTTGTACCATAGAATCAGGTGATTACCAAACCATACCCCTTCACTGCGTTAGTAGAAAATCACTCCCAAAATCTTCAGGTAAACATTGCAACAATTTTTTTTAACAAAGTACTACTATTAAACAAAAAATAAACAGTTTGCTCTCAGTTGGGAGTTTAAGTCATAGCATTGAGCAGACACTCTGCTGTTACCTGACTAGTCATCTTATTTTGCAACAGAGGAAAAATTGTTCCTGTCTGAGCTCTGTAGTATAAAACACATCTGTCTTCTTACTGTGATGACATTTTGGTCATTTGTAGCTGACATATCTTAAAATATTTCCTTCAGGGTTTTGCTTACATAGTGTCACTAGGATCAGCTCAGTCTCTCAGTATTCCTTTTTGCATCCATCTAGAAGTGCAAATTTTGGTGCTGTACTGAATGTGCTGAGCAGACAGTGGCTCACATAGTGAAGGAGAAGCTGTCTGTGCCCTCAGACAGCAATGGGTCTGTGGGTCACTCTGTGTGTAACTGCAGCATGCTGAGTGTGACAGAAAGCATTTGAGATGCAGTCACTGTAACATTTTGTGTAGTGGCTACAGCATGGTGGCTGTGCAGCACCCTGAGGAGCAGGGACATTGTTGCAGGAGCATCAGCCTCTCAGCTCATCTGGCTGTTGTTTCATTTGGCAGGAGTGGCAGGAAGGTTGGGTTTTGCTTGAAGTGATGCAGCAAGAAGTAGCAAAGCTATCCTTGCAAAGCCCTGTGAGATTTCTAGTCAGGAAGGTGATGTTTTAATATCACTTTTCTCATAAAAAGGCTGGGGAGAAGCTAATCCTCATGGGGATTTGACAGAAACAAAGGCAACGTAGAAGGCAAAACAGAAGCTCCATCCCTCAAAAATCCAGGGAAAACAAACAGAGCTCCATGATGTATTTCCAAGAGGATTTCTCCTTCAAAGGCCTCCAGGGCCTTATTCTAGAACTGTGGTCCTGGTCTCAAAGTCCACTATAAAAAGCACTAATGATCTCTTAATCTGACCTTAACTCTCTAGTCCAAGCCTAACTGCATCAGGAAATGAGTCACACTTGAGAGCATAAAATAGCATGTTTTGCTTTTCTTTGGGTAAAATCTGCCTCATCCTTTGAAGGTGGCCATGGCTCCTTTTCAAAACCATGATCTCAGACATGTCTCTGAACTGGATTTTGTGATCAACAGACGCATATTTCTCGCCTCAAATAGCAAAGTCCTTCAACATGTGAAAATGAAATAAACAAGAAATCAAATTCCAGTTCCATGTGCTTGTGCCAGACAGAACTAAGTCTTGGAATTCTTTGAGAAGAAATGATAAAACCAAACATTTTGGTATCTCATGACCTAGAGAATGATATCAGTGTAGAAAACCTCCTGCTGGCTGTCTCTTTGTTTCGGGTTTCCTTAAAGCTGTACACATTATGGCTCCTGGCATAGTGCTCTCCTACTTTCACCAAATCTGTGGGAGTGAAAGGGGACAGATTGGGAAAAATGGGCATGACTGCACTTCCCTGTTGCCTGTATCTCAATACATATCCCTGTTTCCCACCTCTTGCACTTGGAAACATGTTGTCTCTTACTGTTGTTGTCTGGAGATCCATGAAAGATGCAGTGACCCTGGCATATTTGGAAAATGTGATGGGTGTACAAATGGGTTCCTCCAAGCATCACTTCAACCCTTTTTGCTGCTGCTTCAAGTAAGTGACCCCATCACTCTCTGAGATCAGGCAGTGCAGTCAGTCTGCTCCTCTCTGTCACTCCCTGCCTGCCCAACTGTGGCAGAGATGTCCTGCCATGTGTCACTGGTCTTACCTGTGAGGAAAAGCTGCCATGTGTCCTTGGCCAGTGCTGCTGACCTGCTGCGCTGCTTCAGAAGAGTTGGTGAGAGCAAGAACTGTGATGGAGGTGGCTGTGGGTGGGAAAGTCTTCATGCAGACATTTCCTTTGTGAGGAACTTCAGTAACTGCAGGGACAGAGCAGCTGAGCTCAGCTTCTGGTGCTAAAGCATGGGAAGGACTGGAAGGAGACCAATATTTCTTCTTCTGATAGCAACTAATGAAAAAATGTCTGCTGAGTAAGTAATTTATGAGGTGACAAAAGGTAATATTAATGAGAAGCCCATGAGCTGTTAGCAGAAATCACAGCTGATATGGACCCTGTGAGACATTGGTAGTGTTTATGTAGACCAAGGCCTAGGGAAGAGCTAGGTGAGGTGTCTTATCTCCCAGTCCTGGCAGGAGAACATCTGCAGGGTCTCTCAGGTCATCGTGTCCACTGTTCTTCTCTAGCCTGACAGAAGGACCTGGGCCCTATTCCAGATCTCCAAGAGGTAAATGGATGAGGCAAGAACTTTGCTTTCTTTAAGCCATATCCATATTTCTTGAAGGTTCATTCCTTTAGCTTCCATGTTTTACTGGACATGAAAACTCCTGCCAGACACACACAATTTTGCCAGATGAATCTGTTCTTAAATAATGGTGTCATCTAACTTCTTGCCCAGCTGTATTTTTTAAAAATATTGGTTGTAATTACTCCAACCAGTGGGAATGGCTCAAGTCAGCAGTTCTCTATATCAAATTATACCCCTTTGCACTGTGGGCTCAAGGTCTGTTGGCATCACCTAGCTGAGAGGGAAATGCCACCAGTTTGTGTGTATGTATGAGATGATTGAAGCAAACAAACACCCAGCAGCATGGCATGATAGAGATCTCTTATGTGCATTAGGGTCCCATTAGCACAGCCAAGGAAACAGATGAAAAAACCTCCAACATAAAAACATTCCAAACCTGAACCTTGGCAGCAGCTGAAATACAAAAATTTGGCCCAAAGCCACATTTAGCTAATGAAATGGTATGGAAGGTGGGATTTTCCAGTATGTGGGTCCCATTACTGCACTAATAAATACATTAATTACTTTTTCAAAAGAAAAAGGCAAGTTCATTCTGGGAAGCACATAAGGCCTGGTGAGGTTGAGCTCTGAGCGTGGCAGCTGTAATAGAGTCAAATGTAAAAATTTTCTTTCTGCCTTTTCTTTAAAATACCCTTAGAGTGGAAAAGAAAATAAAAAAACATTAATGCAACTGAGAAAAATAATACAATAAAGACTTACTAGAAGTATTTATCTCCTTGTTTCCTCTTCCCCCAAACATCTTCCTTTGTCTCTGTCTTTCTTTTGTATAAAACACTGTAATTTTTTGTAATATCTGTGAGTAGCTTGGTAGTGGTTTTGTACTTACTGATTAAACTTACTGTGCTCACAATCTTTTCATTTTCTTAATTGTCCAGTTATTAACTTCAAAGTCACTCTTTAATTCTCTATATCTCTTTCCTCTCTAGTTTGCTAGATTAGTTTTTTTTTTGCCTGTGCTGAGGTCCTAACTGAGCACTGCATTAAAACCTGTGGAATTTTTTCACACACAGTGCCACTTGGACTCAAGGAAGCGCTGAAGTGTGTGCTTTATTTTAGGACCTACGGATAATTACCATGAAAGTTAAATATTTTCTCAAATTCTTCCTTGAGTGGGGATGAGGGGCCTGTCTGTGTGTAAAGTGAAACCTTATTCTGAGCCCTGAAAGTCAAGGGAGCCATTCAGAGAGCCCCCTGTCCCCACTGCCAGACCTGCCTCCCTGTGCATTCCATGCAGGCTGCAAATATAAACCCTCTGCTAAGGACCTGCTGTTCTTTAAACGCAGGCATCCATCAGAAACGGTTTGATGAGAATAGAAGAAAATAAAAGAAGGGGGATTGTGAATTTCTTTGTGTCTAGGTGTGCTTCAGTGGGTTGGTTATCAGTCCTGATAACTGGTGACTTTTTAGTGCTGCAGTTGGACATGTGCTGAACAAAATGGAGGAAACATGGCCTTGGATGTGCTTTTGATGTGAATATCTGTTGTACATTTAGATGTGTGCGTGCCTCCTGCTTGATTCATGCTTGCCAGGAAGGGGTCATTGGGCTGAGAGCTAATGAACTGCCATGGTAACTCATAAATTGCTTGGAAAACCCTGCAGTTCTGCCACATTAATAATCCTGCCATCCTGCTTTATGAGGCAATAAGCTGAGTCCCAGGGGCCAAGTGCTTCACATCCCAACGAGAGAATTGTGCAGGTAAAGAACAAAGCCTGGGCACAGGGGCAGCAGCTACTGTTGCTTTGGGGTGTCTGGTGCTGCTGGGAGACCAGATGGGATCAAGGAGAGGTGCCTGAGGTGCTCTGGGGCAATGGGGCTGTGCTGACCTTTGCTTTCTCTGAGCGCCTGGGAAAACAGCCTGGCTTTCTCTAAAATGTGTTTGGAGAAATGTTCTTTCAAGCTGGACTAGAGGCAGGGTCTTTGTTGAACAAGGCAGCTCTGAGGTGGTTGCCCTCATGATGATGATGAGGAGGAAAGGAAAAAAGCTGCACAAATTCTCTCCTGTCATCTCAGAGGGACTGTGCTCTGGTCCATTAGCTCCTGTGCAGTAAATCTATCAATGCCTCAGGCTGGATGAATGTAATGGTTCCTTTTCCTCTTAAAATTTATGAATTCATGAATGTAGAAAATGTATTTTTATCACTGCAAAAAGCGCTTTCTGTTGCTATAAAACGCAATTCCAAGACCTACATAAAATAGAAAAGGAGCAAT